TATACTAAGGTGGTCTATGAAGCAGTATATAGGGTAGATCTATATGGATCCCAAAAATGGAGATTAGCCTATATATACAAAAGATTTCATCATTATAGCTTTAAGTTATAGAATAGTGGGAGAGTGGCCCGATCACTTTACTACTGAACCAGTTCGGGCTTCTTGCGGAGGACAATGGTCTTTTTGTCGACTTATCTACTCTTATATTTCACTGTTTTCTTTGAATAGCAGGCGATTAGTTTAATACACGTTCCGGCGGAAAGTAATCGTAGTTTATACCCTCGGATAAGTATCTATAACACTATGAACGATTTTATAAAGAAGAAAAAAGAGATTTCCGCTTTCAGTTCTCAATTATATATGTATACCATGTGATTGATAACGGTAAGCGAAGGCTCTGCCTGAGCCAGACATCACGGGCTCCACCCCTTACATATGCCTGGCTATCACTTAAGCATGATATTACAAAAGAAGAGAAACCTGATATAATATATGAATTACTTTAAATATCAACTCTACAGAGTCTCCCATTAGAATCTTCTGCCCAGGATTCACTTCCTACTGCTGTCCGGCCCCATAGAAGACCTTTAGGATCAACCTCGTTTTTGATACTAAGAAGAGATTTATAATTATCACCGTAAAACACCCGCTGCCACTCTTTCTCCCGGATATCCCCTTCATTTAAATATGAAGATCCTCCCTCCGGTGTAAATTCTTCTATTAGTGGAAGCAAAGTATCTGTCAGTAGTACTTGGTTCTCGAGATTTGCTTCCCAATCAGTTCTATTCCACCAGCTATGATACGACAATTAGCTCTAGTTTTATAGTAAGAATTGAATTGAATATACTTACGTTCCTACTACGAAACTAATCATACTACTTCTAAGGACGGGATTGACTGAGTTGGGGAATGAAGAGTTCGAAGGAGCTTTGAAAGCAAGTCCGCTAATCCCAGCACCATAGGAGCATATACTCGCAAGAGCATCTATTAACTCACTTGAGTTGGTAGCCAAACCAGAACGAGGGAGCAAGCGACTGCCAATTTGAAAAATAGAAGTCTCCGAAGGATTATTCATAGCAATGGTACTTTCGTAAAAGTTAGGAAACTCGACTGATGTATATGCTGAATCGTTATGTATTAGTACTTAGCCATATATATAAGACATATATAGAAAAATCTTACAGTATGAGATCTGAAGATCGGTCAACGCTTGTAATACAGGTGCAAAGATCTCATCCATCTTTTCTTTCGTCATGCCTGGTCCTGTAGCTGGAGCTAAATTGAATCCTGTAGTCTGCAGTGTCCAGATAGCCACGCCACCCGCGTCTGTTAGAGCAGGGAGGATACTATGAAAAGCTGCCACAGAGCTGTAGAATAGATCTTGGGAGACGCCTTGATTGGTGAATGTGAGATTCGCGGCTGTTGTCACTTCTTCCGGATACGCTCTGACTGTCATTGAGAGGACTAGCCCGTAAGTCCCACCGCCGCCGCCGCTTAACGCCCAATATAGAGCTTGATTGCGATATGGAGATGCTCTCATATGTCGTCCATCAAGAGCGATCACCTCCCACTCCAAAACCTGGTCTGCACTAAATCCATACTTCGACAGTAGTGGGCCATGACCACCACCCTGAGTATAACCCCCCGAAATACCTACGCTGGCAGTAGCCCCCCCAACAATCGTCAAACCCTGTGTATGAGCCAAAGTAGTAGCCTCTAGAACCTGCAGTCCGGCACCAATCACCATAGCTTTTCCTGTGTATCCCTTCGAAGTATAATCCAGGAATTTAAAGTCCCGAATATGATGTGTCCAGATGGCTAAGGCACCATCACCCGAAGATTTTCCAAAGTAATCATGCCCTGTGTTCCTGACTACCAAACGCAGATTTCGCTTTGTTGCAAACGCAAGTGTAGCTTGATAGTCTGACGTGCAGCTGGCATTCACTGCATATTGGACGTAGGTACCTACGACGCACTGACTCTTAGTAGGATAGAAAGGATCACAGCTGTGGTTCGCCCAGAATGGTGCCATGACGGAGTGGGACGTATCCGCATGAGTCTGGGGGTCGATCCAAGCGGCCTGCAGATCCGTACATTTTGATACATTGTACGTGCTTTGGTTTCTGAAGAATTCATGGCACACAGAGCCGATTGGTATAGTTGAGATCAGTCTTCCATTTACAGATGTATTAAATGCAGCCCACTCTGATACGCTGGGCCAGCATAAGTCTCCTGGAAAACAGCGACAGCTTTTGAGGATAGTAGATGCACAAAGCCATGGTCCACTGATGAGGATGATAAAAATAATGATGAGAGGTTTGAACCTGTGTAAGACTTGGCGGTGGGAAATTTCCATCTTGGAGTCTGCAGAGCAAAAGGAAAAAACGCAGCCCAGAAAGAGACAAGTAATTGATCACAGGAGAGGAAGGCCATTTGTTCAGCCATGCGATGAGATGTTGATATTGACAAATGATCTTCAGCATGAATTCGCCAACCGGCTTGAAAATGTGACGATATGTGTAAGAGGAAGGTGAGTAGCAGCTTGTATCTTTTCGTTCCCGGAGCATCCTAAGAGAGTTCGTACCTCTAAAACGCGATGCTACAGCAGAACGTTGCATCGTGAAATGCAGTATGTGACACCGAGTATTCATGAAGGATCCGCATCTTTTCTGAGATGCATCAAGTAAGAGATCGGGCATTATATTGCGCCGAATTATTACTTTGCGGTGCTGTGTAAGTGCGGCGCGTGAAATAAAAACTAGAGAAGTGTGTGCCAGGAAAACTCAACTGCCAGTAATCGAGGCACTAGGAAGCCACGCATTCAGCCTAAATGATTAAGAATAAGACGCAATCTCATTGGCATTTACCCAGGAGAGGCGCAGCACAGCATACAGGTAATCACAGCCCGACATGTCTGTCCGAAACGAAAGTAGCAGGAGTGGGCTGATTGAAAAGCCACATGAAAGCGTAGTAAAATGCATCCGGGATATCATGGTTATCTATCCGATGCTTCAAAGATTGATTTGACAGCTGCCTTAAGTAGCGTCTATTCCTAAATTGTGCACCAGGCCCCCCTGACATGACTAGCTGCATGAATATATTAGCAAATTATAATGATATCTAAGCAGAAATTTCTGAATCACCGCATAACACTTCATGCTGACTGCAGCAGAGTAATCGCAAGCAATTACTTTATCCCTTTTGGGATATTTGCGACTATCTGACCCCACACTTACAATTTGCAGGGAGTTCCGTCGATACCCATGAAAATTATCCACTCCGAGAAACTGGGGACTCTTTTTTATCCACCAATTGAATGCGGGTGGGTGGAATTTATATCAAAGTTCCGATCCGAACCTATAGAACCGCAATAATTTCTTGGCCCAGTATCTTTCTGATGTTGATAACATTACAATCGTTCCATCTGCAATCGGAAAACACCAAAATGTCGGCCAAAATGGACGCCATATCCGTAGTCGAGTCTCCTTCTTTGGTGAAACGAGTCGAGATCCTTGCCAAAATTGTCAGATACTTTTGGCGATTTACGAGCAGCGACGTTGTGACTTTTGTCGTTCCTAACACGGTATTTGGGATCTGTTGTGCGCTTGATGGACCTCCTCTCGTCTCAGGAGACCACATTTCGATCCGGGAAGTGCTCTGGAGAATTCCTGCTGTCGTGTTATTCAACTGGTCGAACCTACTAATCTTTGTCCTCGCCAACCAGCGACTATGGGAGTCCGTAACCGAGGATCAGCTAAATAAACCATGGAGGCCTATACCTCAAGGGCTGGTGACTCGTACGGAAGTGCGTCTAGCATTGCAGTTGTTAATTCCTGCTATACTCGCTATCAATCACTGTTTTCTCTATGTTGGAGCCGAAACGGCTTGTATTTTGACGGGAACGTGGGTTTACAATGATCTCAAAGCGTCAGATGATGGTTGGATCCAGCGCAACTTCATCGCTGCTCTCGCTTTTTGGGTGTATAACCGAAGTTCTCTGAAAGTCGCTATCGGCGGAGGCGGTTCTTCTGATGCAGTTATCACACCTGTCGGACAGTTATGGGTTCTAGTAATCAGTGGTGTCATTATGACAACAATGCATGTCCAAGATCTGAAAGATATACTTGGTGATAAGTCGAGAGGGCGCGAAACTGCACCAATTCTTTTGGGAGAGCGGATTACTAGGTGGACACTTGCAATTCCTATTTTCCTTTGGAGTCCGATTTGTGCGCTCTTCTGGGGTGAATGGATAGCGTCTATTCCAGCAATTCTCATCGGCTTTTATGTATCATACAGATGTATTTTGCGCAGCGGAAAAGATGAGGATAAATGGACATGGCAAGTGTGGTGTTGCTGGACAGCATTGTTATCACTCATGCCTCTTGGACATGAACGATGGCGGCGACTTTAACCATCAGTGATGACTCTGGGTTAGGCTTGATAATGAAAGGCTTATGGAGATAATCTGTACGAACATATGACACGTGATTCGGTTACTACTTTCGGTATATTGCATAAGAGCGAGGATTGTTAAAGCAGGGATTCGAGAATGTGGAAGGACAATTCCGTACTCGGCACATCATCCGGTGCAACCTCAATTCTAAAATATCATAATACGCTCACCAAAGTTACCAGTGATTGATTAATCAAAGAAAATGTTCTTTCTCCGAAATTTTTTAAGAAACCAAATGTCACAATTCCCCGACGTTCCCAACACTATGTATTAAAAATAGTAACGTAATTGCCAGCGTTATCGTATATAGTATGGTCGCGAGTGAATTTGTGAAACCACATCATGCACTGCGCCCCCCCTCTTTTGTTGGTTCTATCTAGGACCGAGTAATCAGCAATGCTGATCAGAATATATAATACTCCTCTATTTCATGGTTCCTCTTCTTTCGAAATACTTATTTCTTGAGAACTTATTGAACGGCAGAATACCTGATTTCAAACCATCTCCATAATCTTCGGCCATCATAATACAAGTTGCTGAAGCCACGATGCAACCTCCATATCCGTGCCCAACAGCCACTTGGCACAACGATGTCTATCAAGCTATTGACGCTACTCAGCCAGCCCTTAGTCAAGCAGGACGAACTGTCATCGTCACAGGAGCGGTAAGACTCCTTATAACATTTCGAAAACATACGCAGATGCTTATTGTTCTATCATAGGGTAGCGGAATTGGACGCGAGACAGCCTTGGCCTTTGCCAAAGCGGGAGCCAAGCATTTAGTACTCATTGGCCGCACTGAATCAGATCTACTTGAGACGCAGAGTCAAATCCCTCAGAACACAGCCAGCAGCTCAGTATTTGCTACATCAGTTTCTGATGAGGCAGGAATAAAAAAAGTAGCTGAGGCGGTTGGCACGTGGGATGTTCTCGTGATGGGTGCGGCAAGCAAGGGTATCAAGGGACCTATTGTCTCTGTAGATCTCGCCAAGTGGTGGGAAGCATATGAGGTTCGTCCGATATCGATTTTAACAATGATCTGCTAAGCGTTTTTAACTAGACTGATGTTAAATCCATTGTAATAATGGCCCAAGCCTTTTTTCCAAATGCGAATAAGGCTGGCGCATATGTGTACGGACTCACCTCAGGGAGTTTGGTGCTACCAGTTACATGGATTGCTGGGCAATCGGCTTACCAGAGTGCCAAGACGGCACAAGTGAAGATAATGGAGTTCTTAGCATTGGAGAACCCTGACATCTTCATTTGTACTGTCCACCCTGGAATGGTGGACACCAAGGTATTTCGTGCAGCTGATGTTGATCCTGCTACACTACCGATGGACACTGGTATGTACCATTGCTCCGTCCTATTTTCAAAGATCATAATTACTAATCCATGCTTCCCATCCACAGCTGCGTTGCCTGCGAACTTCCTAGTGTGGCTTACCCAGCCGAAGACAAAATTCCTGAATGGACGGATGATCTGGGCTAACTGGGATGTTGATGAACTTTGTGCGCAAGCCGAGAAGATTCAGAATAGTACCATCTTTACCCTTGGATGCGAAGGATGGCCTTTCGTGCCTGGAGGATGAATGTATCTAGATGCGTAATCAGCTGCCTAGCTAGCATGTGTGTAGGAGGGGAGGGGCTCGTGCTCGCCCCACTGATCTTTTCCGTAGTGGTTGTGACAATTAATAAGCTTACTATGCAGTATGTATATGTTTTGAATGTTATGATGACAAAAAGGGAATGAAATAGGAAGGTGGAGAAGGGAGTAATCTTAGGCTTACTATGCAGTATGTATGTGTTTTTGAATGCTATAATGACAAGGAGGGAACGGAATAGGAAGGTGGGGAGGGGGTAATCTTAGACTTACTATGCATATGTTTTGAACACTATAATGACAAGGAGTTAACAGAGTACGATGGTTGGATGGGTAAGTAATGTAAAACCCACTAAAAAGCGACCGTGCTTTTCTCCATATTTAGAGGCTTTAGCCAATCATATCGTCACGCTGGTTGAAAATTTATATGGTGAACTCTAGGTGGTGGAAGTATTGTAAAAGTCACGTTTTATTCAAAATTATTTACTTTTTTATTGAAATTGATGATTTCGATTGGATTTCAAATTCGAATCCTTATCCTAAACCTATTTAGAATCTATAGAAATCTTCAAATGCTTCAAATACTAAAAACTATTAGAATTGATAAAAAGCAAGTAAAAGCTTCAAAGATTGAATTTTGGGGGGAACAGTTCAATATCTATTCGAATCGCTTAAAGCAGTAGCAAAATCTATAAAAACAGCAAGATTTTAGTAAAAGTGGGGTTTACATTACTTACCCATCCAACCACCGTAGGGAGGTGAGGGAGGGGTAACCTTATGCGAGAGTCAAAATATTGAGAAAAAATCGATGATTATTAACCTTCAGATTACTACATTCACGCCCTGTGTGCTCGTACATACTGAAGAATTTCTTTCGCCTGCCAATCTCAACAAATAATCAGATGATGACTTCGAGATAATTTGAACCTCTTATTTGTTCGCAGTACTTTGGATATAGGCGCAAATATATAAAAGTTAAGGTTCAGGTTAAGGTTAGCGACGCTGGGGATTGTACAGAAGAACACTGTAGTCGTAGTCGTCAATACTAGTATTGTGCAGACTATCTCACCAATAACCTTACAACCGAACGACAAAAGCAAAATAAACATACCAACGAAATAATACAAAATCAAATGATATTCTGACATCTTATCACCGATTTCAAAACCTAGTATCGCGATATGCTAGTGTTGACGTTAAAACTTGCATAAATTTCGCATAAATACTAGGATTACATATATAGTACAAGGATAGTGCAACTCCGTCGTGCTATTCATGATTTATGCTAACCTCGATTTCCCGCCAAATCTTCGACTTGGGATACTCCTGAGAATCATGTTGGCCAGATTCAATATCAGTTTCGTGGCGTCTTTCGATTGTGCCAAGAGGGACTTCCATAGATTCAAGCTCGGTTCTTTCGTCACTGATTTGTGTGAATCTCCTCCGGCTGCTCTTTCCTCCCCGCGAATCATCCGTCGACCCAGACGTGTCTTTTTGTCCACCAGTTCGACGCAGAGTGTATCTGCTGGAGGTGATTGATTTATAAAAACTTGACATGGCTGGAAGAAGGAGCCTAGTCAATAGAGGGCTCATCTGCGGTAAGTTTGCGGCGATGATTCCAAGCCAAAGTTCGAGATGGCTTTGTAGCCCGACAGGGACGACGAACCAGCTCCAGTCGACCGACTTCGTGGATTTAATAGTGGTGTCAATTCTCCATGCGCCAATACCGACCACGCTGGAAAGGAATCTCTCAGTTAAAGCCTACAAAACATGTATTTTGATGGAAAACTTACGCCAATCCCAGGCTGAACATAGATGTAACGAAAACCTTCTTGGCTACACTCATCTGTAAGGACCATATAGAGGGAATCGGAATCATGACAATAATCAGATCCAGAGCCATGTTCGCCCCTACTGATGCGAACTCTTGGGTTTGAATGGCCCTGCAGTGAGCCAAGGTAAACATAATGTCGGGGCTCCATTGCGCTGATACTGGCAGGCACACAGTCATGAAAATTGGGACGAAGGCGATCAAAAAGGCAACACTAAGCCCCATCGTCACGTAGACGGCCCACTTGAGCCTGCGACCTGGGAAAATAGTGAGGTACATCCATAATACCGCCAATTTCGCAAAACATGTCGCAAACGTCCAAGTGAAGGAGGCGGAATACTGGGCCTGGAAACAAGTATAAGCTTCCTATGCTTATCAGCCTACTCTCTTCTCGATGACGTACCTTATGTTGAAATGTGGAATCTTCATAAGTTAGGTGCACTGCATGAGCTCCAAGATTATGATGGTAGCCTGAGATTCAGTCAGTGCAATTCCACCAACTGTTGGATGATTATCGATATGCACGCACTCATAAATGTTGGAATCTCGAGTCCAATGAGGTTAAGCTGTATTTCGGTTAGACATTTTGTCTATGGGAACGAAAGACGTGGAAGCGGAGCTTACAAATGCAAAGACAACGAAGAAGTCGTCGAGAGAAAGCTTTCTTCGCTGTATTCGTCGGGCCCAAAATCGACCGATCATACTCAGTGTTACAAGTATTGTAAACACTATTAACCAGACTATCACAGCCTTCCCACGCTCTGTCGTAGCCATTTGGAGGTTTATTGCCTGTTCTTCAAATTCTTGTGTTCTATTATCGACATTACCGATGAGCTGGGTAAGAAAAAGCAATAAGAAGTATTGAGATGGTGCCTACAGATATACCAACCAAGGAGATTGGCTGAAGGATTAATTAAAGTTTCCAACCATCCTTTCTCGCACAAGGCAATAAGACTTGGCCGTACGTACCAAAATGCAACCCTGGTATTACAATTATAGCCTCCTGAATTTGGAATCAGTACAGGTAGCATGGTTTGGTCTGAGTAAGCACACTGTGCATAATATCTCCAACTCGCATATATGACCTTCCTCTTCGGGACAGGGATGTTAACCTGGTCCACTACTCAGTCTTCCTAGTTATTGTCTTCGAAAAAAATAGTGTGGTAAGCATACAATCCTTTTCTTTTCTCAATTCGGGGTCGGAAAGCAATGCTTTTTTTATTGGAAGAATCCTACGATAGCAAAATTGTGGAGGCAAATTCATATTGGATTCTTCTTCCGGAATAACCTTTTTTGAGGGAAGTAGCTGAACACGAGGTTTTCGTATACTTCTGTAATAAGTATCTTCCAGTTTTTATCTTTTTCTCTGCAACACAAGCTTTTGTAACATCAATTTCGTTTTATTGCACGTGACACTCTGCGTGCATATGCAACACGGAAGCTGATTCACGAATTGTTACGTTCTTGTTGAATAAATCAAATCGCGGTTACATCCGAACCACACTTTTTGTCGCAGTCACATCACCTTCGCCGCAGCACAGACCGATCACCAATCACCAATTACAAAGGACAACTGCGGCCAAGATCCTGAAACCGTTAAGATGATTGATCACGGCGGCTTCCTCGCGAATTTTCATCGAGGGCTCGTAAAGAGCTTCTCTGCTATCGCAATCATGTCAATGGTCCCATTTGGTTCCTACCCTTTTGGTTCCTGCCCTTTGATGGTCACTGCCTCTTCCCTTACTTCAACCTGTCGCAACTTCCCTGGAGATGCCTTCTATCCTAACGCCTCGGAGTGGGCTGTTTTCAATGCGACACTTGGCGGGAGGCTCATTGCCTCGGTACCTATCGCTGCAATCTGTCACCAAGATCATTATGACAAGGCTGCCTGCGACAATCTTCAGAATAACTGGTACCTTCCCGAGCCCCACCTAGCCTCCTCCTCCTCTGCTATGGCATGGATGTTCACGAACAACTCTTGCAACCCTTTTCTTCCAGAGTCAGCATCATGCACTTTGGGAAACTATGTCAGCTATACCGTCAACGCAACATCCTCGTTACATATTAGTGAAGCTGTCATCTTTGCTAATCTGTTCAACCTTCGCTTGGTTATTCGTGGAACTGGTCACGACTATAATGGCAAATCTACTGGTGCAGGAGCACTTTCTATATGGACACATTATATGACATCTCTCTCTCTTATTGATTCATATAAATCTACTGCATATAATGGGAAAGCAGCAGTCCTTGGAGCTGGTGTATCATCTATTCAGGCTTACCGATTTGCTGAGGCAAATAGCGGAACTATAGTAGGAGGAAACTGTCCTACTGTGGCGTTGGCAGGTGGCTACAGTCAGGGAGGGGGACACGGCCCGCTTGCTACAAAGTTTGGTCTTGCAGTTGATCAAGTCCTGGAATGGCAGGTTGTAACCGGTACTGGAGCACTGGTTACAGCTTCACCAACTAGTCATTCTGATCTCTACTGGGCCCTTTCTGGAGGTGGAGGTGGAACCTATAGTGTTGTTGTGTCGGCAACCGTCAAGTTTCACCCAAAGATAAAGTCTATCTCCTCTGCGACTTTGCAATTTGCTACTCCATCCACAGCGGAAGGTGCTACTGTATACTGGAATGCTATCAAGGTGTTCTTGCAATCGCTACCGGAAATGGTTGACAGCGGTCTGCAACTTGTATGGACCGCTGGTGCCGGTTTCTTCCTCGTGTCGCCAATCGTCGGTCTTGAGATTGAACAAGATGTCATTGATAACCTTATTGCGCCAACTCTTTCTACGCTCACTGCAGGCGGGATTCCATACGCTTATGTATCCTCAGTATCTACCTCATTTCTGAACTATTATCAGTCTGCAGGTTTCGGTGCCAATGTCTCCAACGCCAATACTGCTGGGCGATTGATCCCTCGTTCAGTAGTTCAAAACAGTACTGATAGTTTCATCTCTATTCTTAAATCTGTTGTCAACAACAACTATGTCATGGCTGGTGTCACTCTGGATGTCAACAAAACCGTGGTTCCCGGCGCGCCAGATATTGCTGTGAACCCATACTGGAGAAAAACGCTTATGAATGCTGTATACGGAACTTATCTCGATTATAGCAATTTCCAAGCCAATTTTGCAAGCCAAGACTATATGACCAACACTATTGGGCCTGCACTAGCTGCTCTTACACCTAACGGAGCGGTATACCTCAACGAAGCCGATTTCCAACAACCTAATTGGCAAACCGCGTTTTACGGCGCAAACTATGGTCGTCTGAATACGATCAAAGCCAAGTACGATCCGTTGGATAGATTTTACGCTCTGGGTGCGGTAGGAAGCGACCGTTGGACGCAACGAATCGACGGTCGACTATGCAAGGTTTAATGCCGAATTGCTGCAGTAATACTTGTTAATTTTGTTGTGTCAAATGTAACGGTTACACAGAAGGAGGATGGTTGGGTTGTTATTTTTTTGTAGTGATAATTTCGATCAATGTAACCTTTTGCCCCTCATTACTCTTTCTATCGTTTTGGGTCCAGACTGGGTCTGCAGTGACAACGTATTCTACGCGTACTTTATGTATGTCTTTCACCGAATTGTCATCTCAGCAAGCTTATGTTAGTAACTACATGCATGGCTCGAAAGTCGTTCGGGACCACAAAAGTCTACTTCTATGCTGACCCTCAGCAAGGTGTGATGATCGTGATAATCCTTGCGTTCCAACGGGTGATGCCCATTTGAGAAAAGGGCCGTCTTCAATTGATCCTTCAGCACTGCCTCATCTGTGCCTCATCTGTGCCTCCTGCATGTGTTAGTGCTGATCCTAGGGTGAGTGAGCGGGGCTGCGTACGGTTAAATCAATTATCCGAGGTCCTAGAGCAGAATCCCGTGCATGAACCGAACCGCATGGAGAAATTTTTCCACATCATGCGGTGAATCAAACAAGTCCGCCATGGTCAAACGCACGGCGGTATGTCTCTATTAAAGATTACAACGGTTTAGTTCACCATTTTTGCGGCGAGACCGAATGGATCATGATGGATCTAGAAGTCCTCACATCTTCACTGTAGCGGCACTAAAGTCTTCAAGCGGTATTCCAATCAGACGGGGATGTATAGAAATGCCGTGCCGTTGTGGAACGGTACTTCGATTGGAAAGGTTTCTTACTTCCGCTCACATTTATTAATATTAATGCGCAAGTAATGGCATGATCTATGATTCCTGATCACATCCTACCAAATACGTTCTGTGCGACGAGAAGCGAATAACATGAATTATATTCTCCTGTCTCTTGTAGCAATATCGTCAGGCATTGCTGCTCATCTGAGCATTTTTATCCGAGGAGAATGGCATTTGCGCATCTATGAGATCGTTTTTTCGCATACCGCCCTGTTCTCCGTCATTTGGTTTCTGACATCCCCTACCGAGCACACTTATTTATTAAGTAAATATATGACAACTTTGGGAATTTTTGCTTGCTACCTACTTGGTCTTTTTGGGAGCATTGTAACATACCGTCTCTTCTTCCATCAATTGAAGCATTTCCCTGGTCCAAGACTCGCAGCTGCCACCAAGTTTTGGCATCTATGGCACTCCCGGAATTCCACAAATCATTTGGTTTTACACAAGGTGTATAAGGAATATGGCCCAATAGTTCGAACTGGTCAGTGAGCTCATTGATCACCGCACTCCTGCTCATGGGGCCTGGACTAGCTCAATCATACGATGTTTGCTAAACCTTTCTTCCAGGCCCAAATGAACTCTGTATATTCCACCCAGCCGGCATCGAGCTTCTTGATGGCGCGAAGAATAACAACAGCAAAGATCCTTGGTATGATCTCTTGCATCCAATGACCTCCGTGGTCTTTGAACGGGATCCCGAAGAAGTTCGATCACGACGAAATGCATGGAACAAAGGTATTTCTACTAAAGGTACGTAAGACACCATGTAACCCTATGCTTTCATTCCGCAACCTCCATCTAACTCCCTCGCAGCCGTCAAAGAATACTCACACCGTATCATTCTTCTTGGAAACGATCTTGTTGATGCAATTCAATCTCGAGATACCAAACCTATCAAGCTCAATGATTTTATGTCATGGTTTGCCTTCGATGTGATGGGTCTGATTACTTTTGGAGAAGATTTCGGCTTCGTTCGAGCACAAAAACAGAGAATGGAGCTCATACATCAGAGAGGAGCTCTAGCTATGCTAAGCCCTATGAATGATGCTATCTGGCTGGCTCGAGTTGGTCTCTGCTTCTTCCCTTTTTTGGAAAACGTGAGACATGTAACGAAGACTTTGGACTTTTGTTGGGAAACGATACAAAAGCGGATGAAGGTAAGTCTAGCCCAGTCTAGCTGAGAAATATTCAAACCCTACATGTAAAATCATAGATACTAATGTAAGGCGTCGCAGAAAGATACCAAAGAGATAGATATCGCGCAATTTCTCATCGAGGAATACAACGACCTAAAAGGTAAAAAGAGCGACAAAGTCAGATACAATATTCTTCTAGGAAGCACACTATCCGCAGTGACAGCCGGTAGCGATACTACACGAGCCGGGCTCATCGCCATGATGTACTACATCTGCAAATACCCTTCTACGTATGGCAAGATCTACGATGAGGTGAAAGATATCGATGTAAAAGATATGAACCTACTAGCCTCTCTGCCACATCTCAACGCTACTGTGAAAGAAGTACTTCGAATTGCCCCCCCAGCATTGACAGGAGGAGCGAGGATGACGGGCCCAGACGGTCTTTGGGTTGATGGTATTTTTATTCCGGCTGGGGTGAAAGTTACTGCTACGAAGTATTCTTCGCATCGTCGTATGTGATTTTTTTTCCATCTTCTTCGTATACCTACCTGAAGCTAATCATATTATCTCGAAAAGTGCCTAATGCGTTTGTTGAACCCGATGAGTTTATTCCAGAGCGTTGGACTACGCATCCTGAGTTAGTGCTTGACCAGAGAGCATATGCTCCATTCAGCGTCGGTATGTGAACTTGATCTATACAGCCACCTCTTCAGCTCCATACTTCACAGATTGACTAACTAGATTTCATCAGGTCCCCGTCAATGCGTCGGAAAAGCCGTTACCCTTCTAGAGTTGCGGTTCGTAACAGCAATGTTACTAAAGAAGTTTCATATCAGCTTTTCCGAAGGCTATAATCCCGACGAGTTTTGGGAGAATCTCAAAGATCAAGTTACAATGCAAGCAGGGGATTTATTCTGTACTTTTAAACTTCGTATATAATAACTTCTACAATCAATAAACTAATATTATGAGGGGTAGAACCCGTGATATGTTGTCTACATAAAGTCTTCACTCATCGTTACTAATTATATATTTTGGGCATGAGCAGTGCAGTGGACACTGTTTGGTACACAAGCCTCGCCACGGCGGGTCAGTAGTTGGGTGGGCACCGACTACTAGGCGCGGGCCGATGAGATGTTTGATTGATCACCCTGTATTTCACCCCGCGGCCTCACTGCCCCCGGTTCAAGAATCAGTACGTTCGTCTCTCTAGGATCTGGCTGGAGGGTATGGCGAATAACTTTTATCCATTTCAAAAACTAGTAGTCGTATAGCGCTTGCCAGCGCTTACAAATAGATATGCTGGCCGGCATTGATCAGGCACAAATCAGAGCTCTTGAGTGGAGGATAAGGGAATAAGGGGGGGTGATGGAGGGAAAATCGAGCCTAGAGAATAAACATTCGGGGAGAAGGGAAGGAGTTTTAGTTCGGTGGTAGAAAAGATGTTAAGAAGAGGTAGATTATTCGTATTTTTTATTTATTTATTTATTTATTTATATTAATTAACGTCTGTTTTGAACCTCCCTAGGGGTATTTAGATGTACTAAGATAAGGAACTATTTGAGCAATATGATTATTACAACCAAATTTAGTAATTTAACTTCAATGCTAGGGGCTGTTCGTTCCTTTATAGGTACAATTCACTTCTGTTTCTAGAAGAATATATTTGATCCGGATTATTATTGAAATAAAGCTTGGTTTTTAAATAAATAGATTTGTTATAGACTTCAATCTTTATAATAAAGAAAAAAAAGCAAAAGTGGATTACTATTTATTTAACTAAATAATAAGGCTCTTATATTATATCTTCACATATATCAAGAAACTCTTACACACACCTAGCAAGCTCACTCAGCTGATCACCGACTCAGAGTTCTACACTCAGATCTATCCTAACTACTAAAGGACCCTTAAAAAGCAACAATCTTTTCAACAAAGCTTGCTGCTCATCCCTTATAAACTCATCACTCAACTGATCACTCGAATACACTACACCCTAAAAACCGCAAACCCAATATATAACACAAAAGCCCTGCTACTCAGCTAAACAAATAGCAACCCACTCTCACTTCTTCTCCTCTACCATAAGGATCGAAGCCCACAACGAGCCCATCCACCCGGGAACCAAGCTCTGCCTCAACAACAACCCGGATCAGACATTCCCTTCTGGAAACAGAAGCAGATCGCACCCGCAGAGGAGCGAATAGCCCCTGGCATTGAAGTTAAATTGCTAAATTCGATCGCGACGATCACACCGCTCAAATAGTTCCTTATCTTAGCACGTCTAAATACCCTTAGGGAGGTCCAAAACAGACGTTAATTAATATAAATAAATAAAATAAAAAATATTATATCTTGAATTTGTAATTTTTAGAAATAAAATAAGTTTAAATAATCAATTAAGTGATAAATCTATAAAGGAAGGGGACAATAGGCTTTATTGAAAAGATAATTTCTTTTTAAAAGTTCTTTAATAATTAGAATAGATCTGTATATAAAACTCTAAGTCGGTAATTAATTGAATAAGCTTATTAGATATATATAAGAGTTTTTTAATATAAATAATCGCTTACTTATTAAATTACATTTCTATAGGAGTAAGGGGCCAGTCTGATTGCTTTAAATTGTTTATTGTGCATTTAAAGAAATAATATAATTCCTTTATATTGTTGCATAAGCAGTCCAACTTATTATTTTGATAATCAAATTACTAATGGTAAGCAGTATAATTATCATAGCCTATTTTCATAACTAGTAGTTAATGTAAAACTATTCTTGATAGAATTAGTTCCTTTAGTTCCTTTATATTATATCTAGGAGACTATTTCTTGTAGTTAGCGGAGAAAGAGGAATTCATTTCTTCCCATTAGATAGTTTTTACATATAAACGCTTCTAACGGGTGATTGTTTACATCCCACTGATTATTAATAATTTGTTGATTATCTAGTTTATAAGTCTAATTATACCTACATTTACTAAACAATCTATTTTCTTATTGCCTTCAATCTTGTGAGGATTCATAATAAGTCTACTAAATCACTTATTAATATCTTACTAAATAA